GTTGCCACTTCATTTCAGGCGTGCCACATCGAGCACTTCGATCACTTCCTTTTTGATATGCAAGCGCCCGCGGCATAGATGCATACCACCATTATCTTTCTCGCGTATATAAATAATTACGCAGGAAACGTTTCACCGTTTTCGAGTAACTCACTGAAACTAGGATCATCGAGCGAAAGCACGTTGAAGGTGCGACAAGAGGCGCTGAGGAGGAAATACGTTAAATGCCGAAGAAATCGAGCACCGAGGAGGTGCTGTCTTAGTCGGCGAAGGAAAAAGATCACCTGCCGATAGCACGTCTGGATAGACTGACGGGAAAAAGTATATAGCCGTTACGTCAAACACGCACGACAGTGCAACATCGATTATCTGGTACATTAATGCGGCAATCGATCTCGAGATAGCCATCTCAAGACTTTGATTTCTTTGCGTGATTAATGACATTTTAATAGATCGAGTCACGCTCGCAACCCTTTTGCGAGAGCAATCGCCCCTCGCTTATCTCTTCGGACGCTCATTTTATTACTTTTCTGTTACTTATCCGCATTGTACATAACTCAGGATCTACAAACTGTCATTATAAGGATCATTAAATAAAATACTTAATTATATGATATTAGACAATGCAAATAGTGTGACATTAGTTAGAAAAATTACTTTACTTCTTTACGTCCTCGCCATTGCAGCATGGCGGCCTTGTTTAATTAATTCTCTCTTTATTTTGTTGAAAACAATTTAGATTTGAAGAAAAAGCATTCAAATTTCTTTCCAGCGACTTTGTCGATAAACACGAGTCGATTCAAAGATCAGCGTCGCGACTTTGCGAGTCGGGAAAAGTCCGGTCGCTTTACTGGAAACCGGAGCTCGGCCTTTTTGGCCTTTTCTCAGCGATCTCCCCGGTGCGCTGTCCAACGCGTCCGTGCAGATTGGCAACCGGTTTTCCTATGGCCTCTCCCAACCGATTCCTCACTCCCACTCTTACTCCTACTTCTGTTTCCCATTCCAGGGCCCCATGCATTCTCCATATCCCCACATCCTCATCCCTCACAGTGCTGTAACATTACGGTGTCGTCCTATACCTTTCTTCAAATTAATCATCAAATTAAAGTTTCCGAGAATGAGAATAATTTTAGCGTATTCATTTTATAACGTCAAAATACGGTCATATCGTGGCGACTAAAGATGTGATCTCCCGATTTTAATATTTTCTGATAGGACGAGAAGCAGGGCTGGGAATTAACTCACTTCACTTTCCTATAAATATTTATTTGGCATATAAAAACATCACCATTTAACTGAAGATTATTCGACATTCTCTCTGCTATTTATAAGAGCATTCTCTTTTTTTTTTTTTCTAACAAAACGCATAGCTGACAAAATTTATTAATTATCATAAAAAAATGATCGCGCTCTCACTTTCTCCAGATGCGAATTAAAAATAATTCAGATCGATAGAAAAGCAATTTATTGACATTAAAAGTAAAATTGATAGTTTCCTTCATTTTAATAAAAAATTTTATTCTTTCTCAAGTCATAGATTTTTATATCAAATATTTTTATATAGAATTTATAGCGGTGAAATGTGTAACTTTTCTGCTCCTTCACATTGGTCTTTTCAATTAATTTCGAAAGTGGACAGGTGGACTCGATATTTCAACGATGGGTATACAACTTTCTGAATACTGACTTGATCCTTATCCCTCTCATTATTCCTCATTCCTGGCCACGTGTTTGAGAGCGATTATGGAAAGCAGGAACGAGCCGATGGAACTGTTTTGCCCTATCCCTTTTCCGCTGGACGAGCTGGTTTTCGCTTTCTTGTAAAACTATGCGCGGTTTCCGAGTTAGATAACGAATAAATCGACCTTCATGAGCCGCACATGGGAAAAATTCCGCAAGGAACGGCCTGTACAAAAAAAAAAAAGGAAGCTAGGAAGCGAATAGTTTTGAAACCGCGAGAAATCTCATTATCCTCGAACACGCGCAAGTGCGGCCTGACATTTCATTCTAACAGAGAGAGCGCGAATCAATTTTCTGCATGACTCCATTCTCTTCGCCAATTGTCAATTTTTTTTTTTTTCATCTATCGCCAATCCGCCGATGTTCCGACGATCGCGCGACGACGACCACACGCGGAAAACAATAAGAAGAATTCCGTCCGCGGATGGATCGGAATACCTGCAATTCACATTTGCGGTCTAGCAATTAAGTATGATGTTAATAGCCGTAATAGCGGTAAAATAAGAGGATAGAGCGCGAGGCGCAACAACAGTGAGCTACTTAGATCGAATTTCACCTTCTCTTTCTTCATAACTCTCCCGCTCTCCTCGCACACATTCGCCGCAATAACGGATTGATATGTTTCAGCACCCTGCTCTGAAGAGCGATATCGCTTTTCTGTACGAAGAACTCCGTTCATTAAGAGAGAGGAAAAACGGAGAGGCGGTAATTTGTCATTTTTTCCAACTCTATTTTATGTAAAACTAATTATGCTTCCGCAGACAAAGGCAAAATCTCAGATCTTGAAATCCACGATAACAATCAAATTCTTTTTATACTCTTTAATGAGTACAAATTACGTTAATAATGTACAAATTTTCGATGAATCTCCCGATTGTAATATCAGCAGCATTAAAATACAAATAAAATAATTGATGTTATTTCAAGCCATCCTCAATCCGTAAAGAACTGCGTCAGTCAAGCCTTCTTTTTTTTTCTTTTCTTTTCAATGTAGGTACGTTCCGAACGGATATCGGCGAACGTTTAATCTTCGATCGTTCGCTTCGCATCTTTCCCGTTACGGACACGTTAGTGAAAGGAGCTACTGTGTATTGTTCGCGGATCTCCCGAACGGTAGTCAATTAAGATCGTTTCGCGGATTCTAGCGAGGAACGAAAAACCGATGGGAAAACCATATGCGCGATCACAAACACGAAAAATTGCGCTCACCTTCTCTTTCTTTCTGCTGAATTCTCACAGAAACCCATTTCTTCGCTCTCGCATTCGCCTTCCCCGTCATTGTGAGTCGGCTCACAATTATGCCATTACATGAGCCTGGATAATCAATTTTACCGACTCGCAAATGAGAATTCGACGTAACCCCCCGGTGGGGTAACGACACCAGGAAGGAAGTCGATTGCGATCTATGCATTACGACGAAGAGTTAATTCGAGGCTACGGCGAGTGAATAATAAGAAACGATAGATTCTCCCCTAAGCGCCGAGACGAGATCTCTCTATTAAAGATCTACATACGGTTAATTAATTATAGTTAACCTCCGTTAACATTTCAATCTGCATTTACTTTCAAATGTTGTAAGAAGCACTTCTCGCGGGATTTTTTTATTTCTCATACGATATAAACTTTGCAGCTATATTACAGCAGCAACATTGCCACGACATCACAATATCGCGGCAATGTTGCCGTACGGGTTTTATACCCGCGAACGCTCTAATTTACGTAATGACTCGCGCGATCTTCTAATACAAATATAATCACGGTAACATACAGGAGGTCTCGAGTCATGCGAGTGATTCATCGACGTCATGATTACTCGCACACAACGAAGCGCGTCACGAATTTCCGCGAGCGAAGGAGCCGGGCGCGCAGAGATAATTATTTTCCACACACACGTGTTTCTCTCTTACACAATCCCGCGCGCAATCGCACTAATTTCGCATTTGCGAAACCATACAATTCACATGCGACGTATCCAGCCGCTGTTAAGATTAATTAATTGCACGTCAACACGCAGGGAGGCTTGGGAGGGACAATCGGAACGATCTCGCGATTACCGCGCGCGATTGAAATTGCAAGTCGAACGACAGAAATGTATGGTCAATTTCAATTTTTTAAATTTCCGACGAGGTTAATTTCGATGGCGACGGGTCGGTTAATTTCGGTGCGGTCTTCTCGTTTGTCTGAACCGCGCGCGCGGTTTTTACATTGGATTTTAATTAGCCTTTTATCCTCCGCCTTGTCCTAATTGCAAGTGTCGCGCGCGATTGTAAGTTTTGTTCTCTGATCGCGGTTATTTTTTAATTGCACGTTCCAAGTCGCGGATGATATGCCGTGCGAGCGGCGCGCAATTGTTTGCACAACTCGCGGCGCTGAATTTCACTTCCGAGAGAACCGCCTCGGGGAAGAATGCGTCGTATTCCGTATGCTACGTAACGTTGCGTGATACATAATACGTAAGGAGAATTCGCAACCGTTAAATGTGATCCGAAAATGGATGGCGAACGCACGCACCTCCTCTCCCCTCACCCCCCCCCCTCCCCCTACGCTCCCCGTGGTGGATGCGTGCTTAATGATTTTCGAGGCTGCAAACACGTGGGACTCTCCGTGCCTCTCTCGCGACACGATCGTAGATCCAGCGTCGTGCGTGCGTGTCCGTTGTCGGTTTGTTCTATCGTTGTCGGACACCGGCATTTTTATAAATAGCCGGACCGTGAAGCGAGGAATAGGAAAGCAAGACGTCTACCCAACGTCACAGTAACGAGCCTAAAGACAGTCATAACGAGCGCGTCGCGCGACGCATGAGAGAACGTCGCAACCTTGACTGGCGCTTTGGATGGCTATGATCCTCTCCAGTTGATACCTGGGTAGGCATCGCGATCTAGGACATCCTACTTGAGAGGCGCGCGTCCGCGTCAGGTGGTTCAATGTTTTATGACGTATTCTTCGCGATGCGCCGCTACTTACTCTCGCGCGCTGCTTACTCGCTTATGCTGATCGACGGCCGTAATCGCTCTGGGAACAAAGGAACGTCACTTTCATTCGCGACTCACTGTCACGTTCCCTTCTTGTCGCTGACATTGCCGCGGACATTCGTGCTCAGGCGTAGACACCGCGGCGTGACTACATGGGTACAGGAATTTCTTAGAGATTAGCGTACGTTCCCCCCCCCCTTCCCCGTGTACTTTCTCCTGTCTCTCGCACTTCTGTTTATTTATTCTAAATAAAATCGTGATTGGATTCGAAACGTGTGATTCGCTCACCGTTGGCGCCTGCGAGTCCGACGATGCATATCCAGCACAG